TAAAGAGAGGACATAGTCACGTCAGGTACAGTAGATGCGGATTCCATTAAGGCAGAAATATGTGGGTATGGGAGACAGAGGGACAGAGAGAGAGGTGTGTGTGAATTCCTACTAGTGCATTTCTGTCACTGATTCTCCTCCTAATGAGCTCGCTGCAGATGGGACTCCCTCTGTCAGCCCGCTGTCTTCCTTCTCTCCTTCCACTGCATTATCCTCCCTCCTTCTCTTTATTGTTTAGTACAAGGGGAGACAAAGAAAGGAAGAAGGGAATGCTTAATGACAAAATGGAAGAGAAAAGGAATATGCAATGGGAGAAAATGCGTGAAGACAGAAGGGGTCAAAGATACAAAAGGGGGATTCACAGGAAAGGGGTAAATGGTGAGAAACACAGGGGTGATGGAGTGTGAACAACAGACATGGGGGTGGAAAATTAAGATCTAGTGACAGCTTGAGATGATAGAGAAGTAGAGAGGCTGAGTGAAAGACTAGATATTATCAAATCTTAGAAGTGACAGAAAGGTATGAAGAAATACAGCACAACAGAATGTGATGAGGAAAACCAAAGAACTGAACCATGTCAGAAATGAAAATCCTGCATATTAAAACCAATGGTATGTGTTTAGTGCAGGCCCTACATTGAGAGCAGTATGTCTACGTCTGCCTAGCCATGACATCATGTCTGTGCCTGCCACACTGTACTTGGTAAGCAGAATTAATTACCGGCTCAGCTAGCTAGGTCTGCCAGAGTTAATTGAGCATCAAAGAGGAGCCATAACTGGAGCACAGATCAGCTTGATTTCCCTGTGCAAAAATGTAGCTCCGAATTGGCTCGTGCATGTATGACTGAGTGTGCAAGTGTGCATGTTTATTCGTCTGCTTGTGTGTGTCATTGGGCCCTTTATTGGTGGCTCTCTGTCATAGTTCAGATGTGTGAGCTGAAGTGAAAGCATGAGAGAGAGAGAGAGGGGGGAGAAAAACGAGATGTGGCCTGCGTATGCAGCCGGAACCTGGGAGGTACAGATGGGTGACAAATGAAAGGAAAACCCTGAAGAAATGAGTGGAAATAAAAATGCAGGGTCACTGATTAACCTACAGATTATTTTCTTAATTATATGATTTATCTTTTTACTCACAGAAGGTCAAGCACTGGACAAAAAGAGCATTTGGGCTTTTTAGAGTAGAAGGTGGTGTCTTCAAAATACTTTTCCCCAGCCAACAAATCCAAAGATATTCGGTTTATCCTCATGTATGACAAAGAAAAGCATCAATTCATTACATTAAAGAAGGTATAACTCGAAAATATTGGTGTTTTTTGCTAATTTATTCAGTTGACAGTTGACTGACTAATGGTTAATTTAAGTGAATGGCTTAATGAGTATGGAAAAGTGTTTTGAACACAATGAGGGAATATGTTTTTGCAGTGGAGTACTAAAGCTGTTCTGGAGACAGTTTCTTAGTTTGTCCTTTAAGTTGTCACCCATTGGTATATTGTTGACTCCATCTTCGTCTCTTTGCACAACAATAGAGTATTATATTTCTGGCTGCTCAAGTGGAAAATACTTTGTTTGGTGGGATATGAACGCATGTGCCTTGATGTGTAAGTGAGAGTGGTTGTGTGTGTTTGTGTTTATTTCTTGTCTGTACTTTTAACATACAAGGACACAGTGGCATTGATGCGAATCACCTGAAATCAGGTCCAGCCAAAACCCATGCAGGCTGTAGAGTCGCTGCTAGCACTTTTCAGACCTGCTGTTTTGAGCTGCAGCTCCACAGTGGTCACA